TGGCCCAGGGCGGGCGCAGGGCGGGCGCAGGGCCAGGCGGCCGGCTCAGCGGAGGGGCTCGCGAGTGAGTCCGGGGACTCCGGGGCCTCCGCCACACGCCTCTTCGCTGCAGGCCGCCCCGCCCCACAACCCGCCCGGGAGCTCCCTGGAGGCAGAAGCATGCCCAGTGGCTAGAGGCCGATTTGGAGGGAGGCCAGGGTCGGGATCCCCAGAGGGCTCGGGCAAACGGCTCCACCTCCCTGAGCGTCCATGTTCTCGTCCTTCAAACCGAGGGAACAAAAAGACTGACCACTGAAGGATACTACCAGGATTAAAGAGATCACGTATTTAAGGCATTTGTCGGGACTGGATAAACGAGAGCTTTTACAATTCCGTGTTTTCGTGTCACTAGCCGCAGCCCAGGGCCTGCCCAGAGCAGGCCTTCAGAACAAGGCTGGAGAAGGAAGGAGCCTCAGTTTCCCTGCAGGTGAGATGAGGGACTGGACCGCAGGACTGTCCCATCCTGGCCCAGGAGGCCACGCCCTCTGGCTGACGTTCTGTCCCCAGCCCCTGCCCCATCAGCGTCCTCATCTACGGCCAAGGGCGCTCTCTCCGCCGGAGGAAGGCGGGTGGGCCGCGCCGCCGAGAGCGGGGCTCGCTCACCCTTGTGCAGGACGGCATTGGCAGGCTTGTTCCCGGCCAGGGACTCCTTGGACAGGTGCTGGTGGCTCTCAGCAAGGCACTCCACCTCGGCCAGGCGGGCATTGAGGGCCATGGCAGGGTGGTTGGGGTCCTGGGTCATGTTGAGGTACGCGGCCCTCCGGAGCTGCTCCTCGATGACCAGCGCCTGCTCCAGCAGCTGGGGGCGCGGGCACAGTGTTGGCCCGGGCTGTCGTCCTGAATGGCCACGCCCCCTCCCCCACCACCAGCACCTGCCCGGGCCCAAGGCTCCAGACAGAAGGGAGAGGGGACACACTCCCACCAGCTGTCCATCTGGCCTGGCTGTGGCCACCCCTTGGACTGTCACCAAGCTGGTTTTTCCCTATCCCGCTGCCCCGGCGGGGCATGTACTCGCCCAGTGGGGCATGGAGCCCTTAAGAGTCCGTCACTCTGTTAGTTGATTGACTAGCTCCCCTCTGCTAACAGCTTGGCCCAGGTCTAGGTACACGGGAGGGGGTTGCTGCTCTCTGATTCCTTTGGCCCAGGCTCTCGAGAAGCCTGTTCCCCCAGCCCCCACGAGCCTCTGGCCCTGCAGAGGACTGACCTTGAACCTGCGGGCCAGGAACTTGTTCTTCATCTCCAGGTAGTTGCCCTTGTGGATCTCAGACTTGAAGGGCTCGTTGAGGATCATGTAACGCGGGTCATTCTGGATGTCCTGCCAGCGGGCGTAGCCGTGCCTAGTGGGGCACCGTTAAGGGCGAACCTGGCCGACAGAGGTGGGGGGGCCCTAGGAAGCGGCAACTGGGGCGGGGGAAGGGCCAGCCAGGGGTTGGCATTCTGGCTCGTGCTCTCAGCCAAGCCCCTAACCTCAGCTGCAAGATGAGCATTTTTTTCTTTTTAAGTTTTGTGGGGTTTTTTTGTTGTTTGGGTTTTGTTGTTGTTGCTGCTGTTGTTGTTTAATAGAGATCGAGTCTCACTGTGTTGCCCAGGCCAGTCTTGAACTCTCGAACTCTCGAACTCCTGAACTCCTGGACTTCCTGCCTTGGCCTCCCAAAGTGCTGGGATTACAAGCAGGAGCCACCGTGCCGTCTAAGATGAGCAGTGTCAGCAGACACGGACAGGTGACCTAGGTGCACCAGACACAGCAGGGAGGCTGCAAAAGGTTGACTCCTTCACTCCAACAAGCCAGGGGGGACACGTCCAGGCCCTAACCCCCACTCCTGTGAATGGACCATATTTGGAAAGAGGGTCTCTGCACATGTGATCAAGCTAAGAAGGGGTCATTCTGGCTAAGATGACCCTAAATCCAATCACTAGTGTCCTCATAAGAGGAGGGAAATGTGGATTCAGACACAGAGACACACAGGAAAGAAGCCACGTGACAACAGAGACACACAGGAAAGAAGACAAGAGAGGCGGAGAATGGAGTGATGCAGCAGAAACCCAGAAACACCGGGGATTCCCAGCCTCCACGGGAAGCTGGAAGGCAAGGAAGAAGACCCCGAGGGCGTGTGAGGGTGCTCCCCGGGGTCCACAAGGAGCAAGCAGAAGTCTGCCCAGCCTGGCTCGCCAAGGATACGTCACGATGCCCGCCAGCAGCCAGTAGTCATGGCGCCGGTGCCAGATGTCGTAGATCTTCCCCGAGGACACTGCAGCACGCTCCTCGTTCTGCCACAATGTGTGCAACTCTGGGCAAGCAGCCAAGGTGAACGGAATGAGAGGGGTCCCCAGCCTTGCACACACAGGCAGGCCTGGAGAGCCCCTCCCTCACTGCCTGCCCCCTCCCCGCCAGAGGCCCAGAGCTCCAGTGTGGCTAAGAAAGGTTACATAATGGACTTTTATCAACCAGTCACACTCTAGTATGAAACAGCCCTCAGCCCAGACCTCCAGGATTCACCATCTGGAAGCCCCAGCTCTCTGTCCACCGCTCTGCCCTGATACCTGTGAAGCCCCCATCTGCAATGTTGAACATGAATTTGAACTTCCCCTTCTTGTCCTCTTTCTTCCCCTCCTCGTCTTCCTCTTTGTCACCATTTTGCTGTGTTTCCATGGGCTCCTTCTCCTCAACCTTGGTGTCATCTGTAGCCGGACATATCACATCCATCATCCATCCAAAAGACACTGCCCAAGGGGCCTCTCTGCTGAGCTCTGGGGACCCAAAGGCAGGCAGAGAACACATCCCCTTGTCCTCAAGGGCTCACCACCCTGAGGGGTTTTCAATGACAAACCAGCAGCCCCCTCTCTCTGTCCTCCCCCGCCATATCAGGACCGCGAGGGCACAGGGCAGGAGAGCACTGTGGAAAGTACTACTCCAGTTCAAAGAGGGCAGAGCTACCTGAGAGGTCTGATCTGAGGACATTGTCCCACAACATTCTAGCACCTGGAAGTATGCAAAGCTTCCCGCTGAGCCTTAAATTCCCCAGGCCAAGCCCTGTGACCAGCCTTCCTCCTCCTCTCAGTGGCTGGGCCAGAGGGGGGCCCAGAAGAGAGGAGGGGGAGACTGTCCCCCGGGGGGAGAGAGCCATCTATGGTCAGGGGCCGGGCACACCCAGGCACCCTCCCACTAGCTCCAGTCAGGCCTAGGACCAAACAGACAGTGCCTGGACAAGGAGGGGCCAAGGGACACGGGCAGAGCATTCAGAAGAGCCCAGACCTGGCCTGAGATCACCACTGTCCCCTCGGCTGTGGATCAGGCTTAGCTCAAGCTTGTCCAGGACCTTATCCTTCTCGGGAAGCAGTTCTTCTGCAAGACAAAGAGGGTTCCAGGGCTGGGGAAGGGTCTGGGAAGGCAGAGGGGACTCGGCAGGTGGCTTTCCAATGCTGCGAAAACCACGCACAGAACCCTACCCATCAACATGTGACTCAGAGTCCAGCAGGTGCCATCAGAGAGAGCTCCCCAGGACGGCAGCTGGGGGGCCTGGACCCCCTCCGTGACCCTCCCTCTATACTCCTCAAGGCATCCTCCCACATCCTCCTGCTGCAGTGATAGCCCAAAGACTGGAAGCACCATCAACATGGCGGCCTCCACTTAGAAATACGCAGAGATGCGGGGGCAAAATATAGTGCATTAAAAAAGCACACAGGTGAGTTTCCAAGAAGACAAGGAAACCATAAGCTGCCAAAAATGAAGAGGAAATTAAAGCCCAGGAAGGATAAGCTGGTGTCTGGGGGCCCCAGGAAGGGGGTGATCGGACACCAGGAATACCACAAAGTTAGAGAGACTCAAAAATAAGTGTGTCTGTAGTGACGGGGATGGGGGGGAGAGAAGGAACAGAAGCCACAGAGAAAGAATAAGACCAAAAAAATTAGAAAGTCAGATAAAACTTCTAGAAATAATGAACACAATTTTTTTTTTTAGTTGGTGTCTCACTCCGTCGCCCAAGCTGGGGTGCAGTGGCATTCTCACAGCCACCCCAGTGTCGACCTGCTGGGCTCAGGCAATCCTTCCACTTCAGCCTTCCAAGTAGCCGGAACTACAGGTGCATGCTACCACGCCCAGCTAATTTTTCAATTTATTGTAGCGATGAGGTCTCGCCAAGTTGCGCGGTTGTTCCTGAATCCACTCACCTCGGCCTCCCAAAGTGCTGGGATTACAGGCTTGAGCCACTGCGCCCAGCCAATGAATACAATTATCAACATTTTCATCACAGAATTTTCAGATGACCTCCAAGCCTTCCCGACCCTGGTGTCCATGCCCTGGGTAGTTCCCAGGACTGTGGATATGATGACTTCCATTCCCCTGGGCAGGTTATGTTATATGACACAGATGACCTTGAAACAGGCAGATGACCTGGGTGGGCCTGACCTGACTGCACAAGCCCCAAAGCAGGGAGTTTTCTCTGGCTGATTCCAGAAAAGGAAGTCAGAGAGTAGAACCCAGGGGGGTTTCCATTCACCACTGAAGGCTTAAAGATAGAGGGGTCCATGTGGCAGGAATGTGGTGGGTTCTCAGTGCTGACAGTGGCTCCCAGAGAAAGCCCATAAGGAAACAGGACCTCAGGTCTCCAACCTCAAGGAACTGGATTCTACCCACAAGAATGAGCTTGGAAGACTACCTCTCCCCCAAAGCTTCCAGATGAGAACTCAACTCAACCAACACCTTGATCCCCGTTGTTTTCACAGGGAGTCCAGCCACACCACGCCAGACTCCTGCCCCACAGAAAACAGAAGCTCATCACCAGTGTTTTGTTTTGTTTTGTTTTGTTTGAGTTGGAGTCTCACTCTGTCGCCCAGACTGGAGTGCAGTGGCACGCTCCTGGCAACCACAGCCTCGACCTGCTGGGCTCTGGCGATCCTTCCGCCTCAGCCTTCCAAGTAGCTGGAACTGCGGGCATGCACTACCACGCCCGGCTAATTTTTTGATTTATTGTAGAGATGAGGTCTTGCCAAGTTGCCCTG